AAAAAACTCAAGCAAGCCGAGTGACTTTTGAGAGGCGTTTTCCATCACTCATAACACATCTTGACTTAAACGCAACATGTCTTAAAACAATGAAATTCCACTTGGAAAGACAAGAAAAAAAAATAATAAAAAATTTTGCTTGCACACGCTGTGATCAGTCGACTATTCTCCGGCGGACACTTTGATTCCGTTATCAGTCATGGATGGTTTGACCCCCTGCTGCGCTGCCACATAGACAGAGGCCAGTTTTATTCCCGAAAAGCCACAGAAGAAGGAATCGCTAATCTGAGGCTGCCATCCGCAAAGGCCGTGACCCCCTGAATGGAGCTGTCTCGGGGTTCAGACCAGTTGACAAAAACAGGAGGAAAAACAAATACTGATTGCATAAAACTAGCAGCTTTCAACCACTTTTGAACTTTTGAAAGTAATGGCCTGGATGTCTGGAAAGCGTGAGATATTAAGATTGTGTAAAATGGACCGTCCTGAGCAGAGCGGGACCACCTCGCTCCCAAACGGGGCTTTGCTGCCCGTTTCTGGCTCAGCAGGAGATATCTGACACACCAACACTGTTTGGAGGAAGAAACAAACTGATCTCAGCCACTTCAGATCAGACATGAGCCGGAGTTTTTATCTGTGTGAAAACCTTTGCCAAATAACTGACTAATCGCCAAAAAAGAGGAATGATGCTGATCACCACACCAAATGACGACCACTTGTGTGTCTGTGAGCTCAAACAAACGACACGGAGCAGGACGCGGCGTCCGGGGTTGCCACGGCAATGGACAACGGGTAAGAAGCAAAGTGCTTTTGGCTGTCCGGCTGTCCGTCCGGCTCTCAGCGACGCAGACCAGAAAGCCCAGAAAGATCGAACCAAGTACAATAAATTAAACCACTGTTTGTTCCTCTCAAAAAGCTAAAAGAAATCAAGTAGTTAGAGTGGGAGGAGTCACGCTACTTCACTACCTAAAATGCAATCAGGACAGCATGAAGCTCTAGACTCGTACAAAACAAAACATACAGCTTTTTTTTTGTTCAGTGGACAGGGCTGGACACAAACTAAAAACACAATAAATACTTTTTTTCTGAGGATCAAAAGATTAGCTATATCTCTTCATCAGCTAAAAGGAGACTAGAAAAAGGAAGGTCCGTCTGGCAGACTCGCTCAGAGGGAGAAAGGGCGACGCTTTGGGTAGAAAAAAAAAAAACAGAGGAAAACATGAGGGGTGGGGGGGCATTAATCCACGGGGGGAACCCCTCCCCTTTGTTTTTATGGCACTACCACAATTCCCCATCCACATTTTCTTCATTTGTACTTTTCCACGTTTCATTTCTGTCATTGTTCTTTACCCTGATCACATTTGACCCTCTAACGGTACCTGTTCGGCTGGATTTACGGTTGTTGTTTTTTTTTTCTAGCTTTGATTCAATCGTGTTCAGAATTTTTCACGTTTGGTTTGTCCTTTTCTCCAAAATTTTGTCAGCATAAAGTGCAACAGTGCTTTTGTTCTCTCCCGCGGCCTGGCCGGCCTCAGGTCAGACAACAGGGGTTAGACGGGTCCGGGTTGGACAGATCCGGGTTGGGCTCGGGGTTAGGCCCGGGGTTAGGCTCGGGGTTGGGTTCGGGGTTGGGCTCAGGGTTAGGATCGGGGTTGGGCTCAGGGTTGGCGCTGGTCTCGCTCGTGGCGCTGATGGCACTTGCAACGCTGGGCTCCTCCTCCACCTCCTCCTCCTCCTCCTCCTCTGTCACTTCTCCAATATCCAACACCTCCACCTCCTCGTCGTCGTCCTCCTCCTCGTCCAGGCCCCCCCCCAGCAGCTCCCCGTCCTCGCCCGCCTCCTCTCCCTCCTCGCCTTTCTCCTCGCCGGGTTTCTCCCGCTGCTGGTAGACGGCCATTTTGAGTGGTTTGACCAGACCCTCCTCGTAAACTTTAAGGATCGCCTCGCACACGAAGCGGTACTGGCTCTGAAACGGGAAAGAAGAGCAGGATCTCAGAGGCTAAAAGGCTCAGACGGACCCTCAGACAGAACGCATCCACTTACAGGTGTTTGTATCATCATGGCCCTCTGATCTCTCATGGTTCTGACAATATCCAGAGGATGGACCGGCTGACCGCACTCCATTAGACATAATGCGGTTTCCATGGTGATCAGAACCCCTGTCCGACCGATGCCGGCACTAGATGGAGAGAAACAATGCTCAGTCAATCTAAGTGCATCAGAAACTAAAACGTAGGATATGTATAAATGGCTGTTCCGGTCACTGATGGTGGAGGGAGTGGTGATCCACGGCCGGTCGTACCTGCAGTGTACCACCATCGGCTGGTCCTGCCGGGCCCGTTTGCTTCGTACCAGGGCTACAAAGTCCAGGAAATCCGTGGAGTCGTCCGGAACGCCATGATCTGGCCACGCCAGGTACTGAATCTGAGTGAGCTCTCTCTGCTGCTCGCTCTGAAAGAAGAAGGTCAAATGACTGCATACATTTTCAGAAGGATTCCTAAAAACTTCTCAAATGTCAGTGAATACCAACATTTACATGGAATGCAAAACCAATGCAGGTAATTTTACTCTTCATATTGAAGACGTCCGGGCACACATTGAGCTCATTCAACACACAGAAGCCTTTTGTCTGACTGTAAATTTAAATAATCATCTCTGGTTTTACTTTTTCTGCTGGAACACATCACAGTTGCTTTCACTCTGTAAAACTCGAGTCCACAATTGGCCACTAAACGCCCATTCGGCCGCTCTGACCAGCGTTTCTTGTGTAACTCAGACCCTCGTAGCTCTCTTTATTGCTGTCCTGCTTGATCGCCATGGCAACACATCCTTCTCCATAGCAACAATCACAGGCAGAGGAGCGTGCTAAGCGCCTCTCGATATATCCATGCTTTTTAAAGGAGAGGCTACGAGACTCAGGCAAGTGATCGGGTATACAAACACATGATGATGACCATGAAAACGATCAGCCTGAGGAGTGACATCGATTTTGTAATTGAGAGCCACAGACTGAAAGGAGAGCATCGCGTTGTAAACTGTCCCCACCATGACAATTCCTTCAGCTTTCCTTTGTAAACTCAACATCCCACTCTCTGATCCCCCGATTCGGAGGCTCTCTCTCTCTTCCTTTCAGTAAAGTGTCTGACTTGGGTGGTTGCGTCGTCGTGGCAACCGAATCCCAATATGTGGCGAGCACGCAGCAGCGGGAGCCAGAAAAAGAACAGCCCACACCGGTCACCACGGCAACACACCTCCTCGGGGTCCTCGGCAGCTCCTCGCTCCTCAGACACTAGTCCCCGTTTCTGATTGGACGCGGCCCTCCCCCAGCGCTCAGACAGGCTCTCCCTCCGCTCTGTGTCTGTGTGTGTGTGTGTGTGCGCGCGTGCTTACCTGAGCGTGCCTGAGAGTCATCTCCCGGACGAGGAAGGCAGACTTGCCCTCCTCGTTGTGGCACGTGACGGTGAAGTCTCCGTAGGCGGCGCTGCTGTCCGGGTTGGGCCAGTACTGGTGACACTTCACCTTTAAACACAAACCAGGGACTCGGCTCATAGCTGAACGTTTAACAGGTCCAAACTGTTACTCAAACCCCACGGGTCAGGGTCTGGTACTCCTAAGTCAGCCATCTGTTCTCAGCACATGCACAATACACCCACACACACACACACACACACACACTTTGAAATTCTAGTGTAGAAACAATGATTAGAAACTTTGCAACACACGGTATTAATGTCTGCTGCCTGGCAAAGACTCTGGAGTCTTTGTTAAGTAATGTTGGTCTCCAGCTGTCAACACTTAGCTCCTTCTATGAGTAAAAAATCTTCCATTGACTGTGATGCCCTCTCTAAATAACCAAGCAGCCGTTTAAAGTATTGGTGTCCCCATTGCTGGGCTTTTTAGAAGAATTTGGGACTTGGTTTCCGCCCTTGTTCTTGACAGGAGTGCCTTTACGTACCCGGCCTCTCTCCACCTGCGTGGTCAGCATGACCACCATGGAGGAGCCCTGCTCCCAGGTCATCTGCCAGAAGTCGGGGCAGGTGTTGGGCAGGGGGCCCTGGCACGCTATGTAGCGGTTTATCAGACTGGAGGCTGGAATCTCCATCTGCATGGAGGGGAACAGCGAGAAAAGCATGCACAAGTTTTCAATTCTCAGTACAAGGGAGGAGTAAGGTGAATGTTTATAAGATATATCAAAACAGTCACACATGAGGGCTTTTAACCATTAACTGAGTTGCAGAAAAATTGCTCAAGAGCAATGGACTTTTTTAAAAGAAACCCTGTTTGAAAACTGGGTTTGTTTTCTTCGAAACACAAATGTACCTCATGTAATAGTGTTTTCATCTTTAGTGAGGTCATTACGAACTCTACAGAGACTAAATATTTCACTACATTGTCTATGTTCAAATACCAAACACTGAAAAATAACATTGAAAAGTGTGCATTCGTATATAAAAGCCTCAGTAAAGCTTTCCCATTTGCTGTTTTGAGGGTGAGATTAAGGAACCTCTGACACACTGATAGTACTATACTTAAGGGAAACTAAAAGGAAAGGTCATTATGAATAATAAGAAAACAAGAAGCGACTCACATTGATATAGTTTGCGTTGATGTAGTCGTCTGTGCTTTTTAGAATGACCCGTGTGGCATCATCTATCAGGGACAAGAAATCATTTTATACTTGGAAAGAACAGGAGTTTTATGGAAAGAGGGAGCATGTGAAAGGACATAAAAGTCAATTCAAGCAATTATTGGAACGCCAATGACAGTCATGCCTGCTCACGTACAGGGGGAGATGTCTCTGTAGCGGTTTTTGGAAACATTCTGAGGTAATTTGGCACACAGCATGGTCATCCCTGGCCTCTTCCTGTACAGTTGCTGAGGACGGCAAAAGGAGAAAATGATGAATTATCAAACCCAAAGCTGGCTTTCTCCCACTTTGTTGTGTGTCAGCATTTTTTGTGCAGAAGTTTGCATTCATTTAATTGAAGTTAATTTAGACCTGAAGCCAATGAGGGCTTTGGTTTAAACACAAAGAGGAAGTAGTGAGATGATGAGGTTAGGAGAGGACTGCTGGAGCAGAGAATGAAAATGAACACATTTGCTATTCTACGTCTTTGTCTCCAACTCCGCCTCATCAGCTTAGGGCCTGTGCTCCTATTTTTCTCCTTACATCAAACTGTGCCAGTATGGCTCCGCTGCCCAGGCCTTCCTTCAGCGTGACCATGGAGTCCCTCAGAGCATGCTGGTCCAGCTGAGCCGGGTCCTGCGGAGACTTCTCTGGGATGTACTGAAAATCTGGTTCAGAGTCCACCTTCTCCTCCACCACGTCATAGATGGCTGAACGGGACAGGAACAGACGCCGTGTGATTACTCACAGAGTATATACAGCATATATTTCACCAGAAAAATCCCAGAGATGAGAACAGAGGAACATTTATTACATTGATGATATTTACTTTGGTGTAAGAGATGTGTGCGTAAATATCTCTTATACTCAGTTAAAAACACCAAGAATGTCAATGTTTTCTGTTCTTTCAGAGTTTCCCCCTGTGTAAAGCTGAAAAATACTCGAATCAAACCTTCACAAATGGAATTTGTGGCTGGAAAAACTGAGCGGTTTAGAAACAGAAGTTAAACTTTAGCCACAACATAGCTAAAGTTTTGTTATTCATCTCACTCTGCTGTCACACTGCTTACAAAATCCTCCCATCAGGCTGCACTGCTCAGTAACTACTAGAAAAAAAACACAATGCAGCCCACTAAACCAACTCAATACAGGATGCTGCTGATAACATGACCTAAAACATCACGTCGTATATTCTGGATTTGAAGACACCTGCTATTTGTCAAGCCTGGATCCAGCCGGCGGGTGCTTTGGCCCGGAGAGGGGTGATCTGTAAAATGTCACTACTCACCGTTTGGCCTGACCAGCAGGATGAGCTCCCCTGAGTGGCTCTCGCAGCTGGCCTTGATGAACATGACCACCTGGTCGTGTGTGTGGTCAGATATGTCCCGCCCGTTGATCAGGACCACCTGATCCCCCTCATTAAGGCGGGGCACACACAGGTCGGCCTGAGGGGAGAGACAAGGGTCAGAGCACCAGCTTTTTAGTTTAGTGTCTGTAGTCAAACTAAGCGTAAATACTGGAGTTAAGCTGATACTTACTGAAGTTCCAGGAGCCACTCTAGACACAATGATGGGCATCTTCTGATCAGCTCCCCCCTGGAGACAGAGCGATAGATGGATCCAATATTAGCACATCACAATCTTAAGCACACAGCGCAGGTGGATTCCGTCCTCACCTTCACATTGAAGCCAAATCGTCCGTGTTCGTCGGGTCTCATCTTGATCAGGACCAGGTTATCGTGCGGGACAACTCCGTTCAGCTGAAAGAGGGCAGGTGAACAAGGACCAATCAGATTTACATCCTTCCGTGTTCCTCCTGGCCTCTCTGTAGTGCTCTGCTGATTCTGATTCTAGCTCTCTGGAGTGATACACTGGCTGGTGAACATCGAGTACAGATAGCTGGAGATCATCTGAAAGCATCAATGGTTCATTCATGGCCACTAGGGGGCAAAAAAGCTTACTCAAGCCATTGCAGGTCCACTCACAGTGCTGTTTCATAACTGTAAATGCCTCACATTAAATATACAAACAACTTTCAGATCCTCTTCATCTGCTGTAGCTTTTAATAATAATAACAATAATGTTATATATTTCATTTAAAGGCGCCTTTCTCTGCACTCAAGGACACTGTACACAGATACATTAAAAATGCATAAAAGAAACAACCATAAAAATCAATAAAACCACAAAAATAGACAGAGGCGATGGCAATATCCATTTGCCTCATGTAGAAAAGGCAGTCTCAAACAGATGTGTTTTGAGTTGTGATTTGAAAAGGGGGAGTGAGTGGATGTTTCTGAGTTGGGATGGTAATGAATTCCAGAGACGGGGAGCAGAGGGGCTGAATGCTCTGCTCCCCGTGGTACTGAGACGGGCGGAGGGGACAAACAGGTGTTTTAAGTCCAATACTTCCCCTTTTTTCCCTCTCCTTGGCCACTTTCCTCAAAGTTTTCAGCTAATAGTTCTTTGTGAATCAGCTTGTTGCTGCGTAAATCCCATTTTCTGTCAGTCAAGCTGAAAGAGTGACACAATACAGGCTCATCCTTTCATTTATGTGGATTTCTAAATGGTTTACCTATTCCCAGGTAAATGTTTATACACTGAACAGACTAAATGAATCTCTGAAAATGGTCAGGTAAAAGAAAAAAGTCCCTTAAAAAACATTTGGAAGCCAAAATTGAAAATAAAAAATGACAAAGATATAAGTTGCTAGTTAACAGTGTTTTCTCCTTTGTTGACATTTTTTGCATACACTGATAACTGACTGAAGAACCTCAACCCTTTAGTTTTAGTTTCAAGAAAATGTACCATAAGCATGGACATATTAGATACATATATGCTCTGGCTTTGTGTAGTACTGTGTGGTGGCGTTGTGTGTAGGCAGACTCACGGTGGTTTTGTCAGCGTTGACGGGAACGTCGTACATCTCATTGAGGTGGTTGTCCAGGAGGCTTTGCTGGGAGTGGGCCTGGATGATCTGGCTCAGGGTCTTCCTGCTCAGCTGCTTGGGGGGCAGAGCTGGAGGCTGGCCATCGACCCCATCAGGAGACCTGTGGAATACAAATGGAAAGAGAGGGGGACTGAAATCTGAATTCAAACGTAAGGAAGCAGCCCAAAAGTGATGAGCATTAAAAGAAAATATTTTTCATTTTCTAAAATAAGATACAGGAAGTCACAAACAAGTCTGTAAGGATTTGTTAAGTGGACAGAAATGTAGAAAAACCAGGTAAGGAATATGATGAGAAAAAAAAAGTTTTTAGTTAATGCGTTTTGACTGTTAGTCACAATGCATTAACCTCAATAAAGGGGCTGTAAGAGGATGGAAAATGACCCATTCCATCATCCAGGCACTAAAACACAGTTAGTTAAAGCTTTCAGCAGCATTGACACTCAGTCCGCTGGGTAAAAGCCATTTCTTTCTGTACGTGTGTGTGAACGTGCTGTCCTTGTTGGCAGGGGTTAGCAGTCAAAGAGCATTAGTTTTGTTTTGACTACCACCACTGGAGCCACTTTGTGTCTTAAATACACACACAACTTGACATTTTTTACGGGTCAAAAGCAGGTAGGGCTTTCGGTGCACTGCAGGCATGAACCAAGACAGCACCATCCTGCTTCTTTTAACCTGCATACGTTAACCCAACAGGCCCTGGGATGAGGAGAGCTGCAGCCAGTAGGGACAGCTTTTTGCTCCATAAAAACACTTTGGGACAAACTACAACTACGTACAACAAGCCTGTAGTGAAATGAAGGAATGACTAGCTGAATATATCAACAATTTCATAGAAAAACTGACAAGAAATGTAAAAAATACGGATCACACGACTGTGCCAAGGGGTCCAAAACCACTAGGAAACAATTAAGGAGACATATTGAAATCTAGTGCAACGCCATTGGTATTTAGAAATAATAGTGTTAATACTGTTATCTGGATTGGGACTAAATCTTTTGCAGAAGACATCATAGCGAGGCAGCTGCAGGACACCAAAGCCAAGAAATAAACGAAAGAACAAAACTTGAATTTCATGCTTCTGGCAACAATTTGCGCCTGCAAATTGTAACCAGAAAACTATTTTCTGTATTTCTGTTGCCAAACAGAAACATCTGGGACAAGAGAGGTCCAGCAATGGAGGGATTAGAGCCTCGGAGGAATCTTCTCTCTGATGGGGAAAACACTATCAGGAAGGAAAACTGGAACACTGTATCTGTCCTGATTTTATACAAATGATTTGAATGTCTCTATCAGATACAGCTTTCCTCTGCACGCCCGACTATCTTTCATGGGCTGAATAAACTGGTGCAAAATAACATGACAACGGATCAATACAGCAGAAGACGTGTGCAATTATTTAGTGTCAAATCAGCAGATATTTTTAACGTTACTCAAAAGACAATTTCGAAGCTTCTTTACGAACCAAAATGTTCTCAGAACATGATGTCAAAGAAATGTGAGGAGCAAACCAAAAGCAGCAACTCAAACACCATGCATGGATAACGCCTGCTATTTGCCGAAGAAAGAGCATGTGATTATGTCATCCTCTGGCTCTGAAGCGCAGCGATGAGCCACTAAACTTGGCATTTGTTTGTCTATGCGCTTTGTAGGCAGTGGAGCTTCCATTGATGTTGCTTAACCGCTCTGATGTCCAACCGAGACGTTTTCCGTATTTTTCTGCCCCTCTACGCTCCTTGAGATTTTGAAACATCAACGTGGGACTTATAGGAACCTCACCTGGTATTTTACAGTGTCTGAGCACTGTAAGGAAATACAACAGACACAGAGCTGAGACCGATTCAGCCATCGCACAAGCTCACCACCCTGCAACCCTTCTATAAACACATTTTACAGGCTGCTTTTCAAAGGGCTCATCTTTCCACTGAGGCTGCCTAAGTGACACTGGGAGAGGGTGTGAACTGCTGGGAGAAGCCACAGGCACCGACAGACACTTAAAGAAATAAAAATAAAAAGAGTCGACGCAGCAGTTTGCTCAGACAGACTGAGACTACCGCTAATGAGGAAAATGTAGCTGCCTAATTAAAGGGTGGCTGTTTTCAGGAGATGTTTTATTTATGAAGGAGTGAAATTATGATCTAAGTCAAAGGCTGAGGCCTCTCCCCAAAGAGAAACGGCTCAAAACAGCACGGTCAGTGGGAAAAAAACAAGTAAGTAAAGGATGGGAGACAGAAAAAAGCATGAGGAGAGCGATATCAAACAGCTTCAAGTAAAAAAAATAAAGAAGAAGAAGAAGCATTTTTTCCAGTGTGTGGCAGGGATGAGACTCACGGTGTGGAGTCCAGGCTGATGCTGTTGGCCTGAGTGGACGAGGCTGACTTGTGATTGGAGGAGAACACGGGCAGGCTGGGGGAGGCGTGGATCACGTGGTCGACCAGGTGGCCGACGGACGACGGGCGCAGCCGCGTGCCCTCCTGCACAAACAGGGAGTTCCTGGGAGGGCACGGAGAATGTTTAAAAGCAGCTTTAAATGCGCTGAAAACAATAAAGACAAACCTCAAAGTCTGAGCGGATCGTACTCCGACTTTATCAGCATAAGTGTTTACTGTCATCCGCGTTGTGGTTTCTAATTATTGTTCAGTTCTTACAGGGGAAAGCGTTGGAAATAGGAGATAGCCGAACACTACAGACAGAATTTCAATTGTTAAAGTATCCTGCAAACTGCGGATACAGGCGAGCATAAAATCTGGGCATAAAAGCAAGTGGCATGCTATTATATCATTTTCCTTCAAGAAATAAAATCAAATAAAACAAACATAAAAAGGTTTACACAACCTGGTTGTGCTATAGAATAAAACGTCCAAGAAGATAGGACTTTTCTGCTCCTTGGTTTATCTAACAACGGTAAAATATAGGCACAAAATCTCAGTTTGATCCCTGAACATGCACAACCGTACCAATGTCCTTGACAAAAGTCTGTATTTTTTTTTAAAATATGTTTCACAAACTTCTCTACTTTACAAAGAATTCAACAACGGTTGGCCAAAGTCAGTGATAAAGCCAGTACTGCCGTGTTTCCAAAGACAGAGACCAGCAACAGAAACTGGTTAAAAAAAGTGAAACACCCAGAACTCACTGGTTGGGTGTGCCAGGGGGGGAGCGGGTGGGCAGACTCTGCGTCTCCAGCCTCTCGTCTGATAGGCTGTTCCTGCTCACTGACTCCCAATCGGTCCCACTCACCAACTTCCGGGCCAATGGCTTGCTGGGAGACCTGCTCAGAGCAGGACATGATTTCACCCATTCAGTGGGATCAGTTCTCCCAACTTTTCTACCTCATAGCCCTTGATTAGATTACAGGCTAATATGAATTGGGCAGTACATGTCAACTACGCAAGAACAAAAAATATGGGTGGTGCCAAAGCAAATGATAGGTTTAACCCTTTATGGAAAAAGGAAGATGAGAGCTTTTCCATACCTGGCAAACACTCTGTCCTTGATGCATTTCTCCTTCCCATACTGCACCGACTGCACTTCTGTCCGCCCGCTACAGACAGAAAACAGAAAACAGGACATGATTCCAAAACCTCAAACTTCATTTGAAGTAACTAATTAATGTTTAAGAGGACATCATTAAAGCGAAGTTTACACATTTGTCCGTAATAACGCATAGCTGGTGGGTACCTTCATTAAAAAGCCTATCTGGTCCTCCGTTTTTTGTAAGCTTACTTCCTTTATCTGCAATACTCTCATTCTTCTAATCCATCAGTTCTGTGCGGTCTGACTTTGTCCCCTATTAAAATGTCCAGACGGGCATATTTAACCATTAAACTGCCAGCGGAGCCAGTTTCCTACATGATCTTAAGGACAAAGCAACGCCGTGCCGGTCGGTCAGGAAAACTGACCATTTTTTCTTTTGAAGCACTGTTAATACCACACTAAACCGACAGGTTAAAATATTATCCACATACGAGTCTGCTGATGTTTTCTTACACACACAACTTCGAGCTAAATATCAGCTCACTCACGTTGCACTGCTGCTCTATAAAACATCAAAAGACTCACTTCATTTCTTACCATGAATAAGAAGAGAAAATAAATCAAATGAAAATTATCTTATCATTCAAATTCAACTCTAATTACAAGTTGGAAAAGTTAAAGAGTGCATGTCAACCGAGAGACATGTTGCCTGTCAGTGGAAATAAGTGAAAATGTGAATGGAGGTAAATATATACTGCAAATGATTGAGTAATAAATAATAAATAAATGAAGAATTTACAAATAATATATGTATTTAAAAATAAATAAATGGTAATTACTTATTACTGCATCAAACACAAAGCAAGTCCACGTTATGTATGCGTCTCTCTGCTCTTCTATTTCCATGCATTTGGGTTCTTCTTTTCTTACCAGTATCTGAACTTTGAGCCCAGGGTGAAGTAGTGAGTGAAGAAGTTCTTCTGGGGGGGGATCGGCTGCTCCAGCCTGAAGAAGGTGTGGTGCTCCACGCAGGCTTTCCACAGGTTCTTACAGGCCCGGTAGTTGACCATATTAAAACCCAGCAACGTCTCACGAGTTTCTGTCTGTGTGTAGGAAGAAGAAGATTCAATCCTTTACTTTGGCACACTCGCACAGCTTCAACATTTAGTCTTCACTTTTAGCTTTTAATGAGCTTAAAACCTTCATCAAACACCCAGGACACTGCCTGTTTAGTACTGAATAGTGCTCATTTGATAATAGTCATGTTCAGATTATTGGAAATTAACATACAACAGTTCATTCTTGAATCTTGAATTTCTATGGCCCATTGGTTTAACCTAATACAGAATCAATATGGATACTAAAACAGACAAAAACAGAATAATGTAAGAGAGAGATTGACATGGAAGCCTGTTGTACGTATTAGTCGACAGTTGCTGAAACATGCTTAAAGACTGAGGGACCATCTTGTACTGGACTGTTAAACAGGTTTTTATTGATTTTCTGTTCATGAGTTAAGAGCTGGTCTGAAATCGGAGCTAAGCAATGAAGTGCTGTGAGTATGTGAGGAAGTAAAAGCCAGACCAGGTTGATTCACGCTCAGTTAAGCAGCCCCTGCTCAGTCGTACAAAAATCCCCAACACATCATGAGATCGGACAAAAGCATTAGATGCAGATCCGTTAATATTCAGTGGTAAATCTTACTGAGAATAGTTAGATTTGCATTGGAGAGACTGATACTGATAAATATGTTCTTGCACTCTTTTTTTTACATGAACAGATCCTAACAACTGAAATAAGAACAAATCCATGGCCATTAAATCAGACAGTTTCCTTTTATTTTTCTCTTTTCTTACCTATAGATTTAGTAAACTTTAGTGTTTCATGTTAATAAATCAAATTACAAAAGAATATTTGGGGATGGACAGGAAGTGGACAAGCGGCAAAACGAGATCCCCGCATCAATTGAAGAGAAACACTTCCATTCCTGACCCAGATTACAG